AAAACTTCATATTATTCAAATCGATCGAAAACGGCAGAATGTTTTATATATTTTTATAATTGACCTATAATATAATACCTTATAATATAATGGCGTGTGTAGAATATCAATAGGATTTCGTCGAAAGAGAAAATAGGAAACAACTTTTATTGAGTGATTATATTTTTATTAGACAATGAATAATTTTTGAATGCCATGCATTCAAAATACTCAAAACATATAGGTAACCAATTAATATTTTCACATTTTCCATTCAGACTCTCAGTAATATTATTCATTGTGTTTGATATACATTCAGATTTTTACACATGATTATTAGCTCATTCTAATGCTGCTTTTCGGATACGTACTGATAATGAGTCACGTAGGACTATACTTTTAGTATTTATTTGAAAGTCGATAAATAATTCTAATTTTTACATAATTAATAGTAAAATTTTAAGGTTAATTAAAAAAAATAAAAAAAAAAATACATATTTATAATTTCCAGAAGTGTCTTGAATCTGAAATTTCGGCCATTTGTCATTACTAGTATTCGGGCATGTTCTTATTTTACATAACATTCTATAATACAAAATAGACGGAGAGACTCTATATAATAACGGAACTTTGCTAGTTACTTGTGTTTTATACGAGTATTATATTATTATTATACTTCCTCCCGTTAGTGTTGAAAAGGTGTATACTTACCATGAAATACCGTATTGCTATTCGTCAACAGTAGAAAAAAAAAAATAAAAATAAATAACCCAACGCGGTAATTTAAAATGTATTTTTAATAAACATACAATGCAACAACACTGACGCCGTGTAGTACACGACTTACAAGAGCGTAACAGTATTATTTTATGATTTATACGACTTATAGAAAAAGGTGGTCAGCTATTTTTTTGTATCGCTCTGTTCTTATACATTATATGTCTCAAGTTTTTACCGCGATTATAATAATCGATATCGCGTTACAATATTGTTGAATGTAGGTAATCTCGTTTATTCGATATTAACATTATACATATAGGTATAGTTGACACTGACCTAATATAAATAAACCAAGCACATAAAGAGAGGAATTGCATTCCAAAATGATGTATTGAATTCGCAGTAGGTAAACTCCTTTTATAGGTACTCCTTTTTGGAAAAGAATATTTATTAAAAAATTCAAATTAATGATACATTTTAGATTTTGAGCGTAGCGGAGGAATGTTTGTTTTATTATGTTTAACCATATTAATCACTTCTAGAAATCTTGGTTCGATCAACTTCAGAGGTGGCGATTTATGTGTTGTGCTGAAGAAGTCAAGTCAGTTTGATTTTTCTTGCAGTTTTTTTTTTTTGCTTAATAAATTGGTAGAAAAAAAATTAAAAAATCCGGAATATTTACGCAATAATGGTTCATTTTATTTTTGATTAAGTTTTTCGTTGTGATTCAGAGATTAAATTTTGACCGATATCTTATATTAACAATTTCTGGACGTTGTACAAAAGAAATACCATTGTAATACCATGTAAACTCGAAATATTTTTACGTTTTAAATTAATGTTATGATTTAAAGAATAACTAGCCATCCCACGCCCGGAGTTTCCCGTGTTAAGTAATTATTCTTTTTACTTTTATTTCCGTATTGCTTTGTTCGTATCAGTATATTGAACTAAAAAAAAATAGGTGGAAAGTAAATACTCCACGTAATATAAATGATCTAGCGTGCTACACATCTTTCCATTCGTGTTACCATATATAATTGCATAACACAGGGATAAAACTATATATACACTATAATAAGTCTATAATTATGATGATATAATAGTGTTGTAGTATTATTACTGTACCAGAAAAAACAAAGATTCAGAGATGACGTTTTACGTGTTTTCACTTTTCACTTACCCATCCTGTACAGCATATAGATTTTTTTTTTATCCATATTTCCAAGGTAGCCCATTCCATTTCAACCCAATAATAGATCGGCAGTGTCAGATGGACTCTTTATTATAAGTTGTTATAGTTGTAATGGCAGTTTTATTTTTATTTTTTTCATTTCATCTATGTTACTATAGTTATCTATAATTCAACAAAAATAATTTAATTTTCGTATCAAAAAGGAAAATTTTTCATCTCTTTCAAGTTTTATTTTTGCGAAAAAAATTAGCCTATGTTTTTCTCTTAAGTCATATGTATTCCTATACTAAAATTATAAAATCCGTCAAAATCCGTTCAGTAGTTTTTGTGTGAATGAGTAATAAACATCCATACATTCTTACAAACTTTCACATTTATTGAAGGATACGACTAACAATGTTTTGCTATTACTAGATAATAGTGAATAAATAATAATATTAGTTTTCTTGCCTGTAACCACTAAATTGTCATCCATGTCATCACCAAGGTAACCTTTGAATAAACAAAAATAAATAAATACGCAATTAGATATTCGTACCAAATATACCTAAAAACCCCTATTTTACCCCCTTAGCAGTTGAATTTTCAAAAATCCTCTCTTAGCGGATGCTTAAGTTATTATAGCCATCTGTGTGCTAAATTTCAGTCCGATCCATCTAGTGGTTTGCGCTGTACGATGATGAATCAGTCAGGACAAGTTATTTTATATACCTATATATATATATATATACCTAGAAGATAATATCATCGTCAGCGGAGAACTGAATTTAATTGTATGTATAATTTTAATAAACTATCTCATATTATAAACTTTTAATTTTCAAAACGCGAACAGTATTTTGTTTTATGTTCAATTTTGTATTATTAACTTTAAAATAGAATTTCGCCAAGAATGTTGATAAATTTATTTTGGACCTTCCACGAGTTACTAATTATAATGGTTTGTTGTTTTACAAGGGTGACTTTAATGGAGTAATACCATTGCTGCAGTACAGGAGGGAAAAGGACATAATAATAGCTATTCTGTGCGTTATTTTGCTCTTCTAAAGTGGTACTAAACTTTGGACCGTTCTAATTAACCGTTCAACCTTATCAAGAAAATATTATTAGATTTTTAGATTGTATAGAAATCGGATCATTTTTATTAAACGAAATAAGGTTTATTGAAAAAAAAAAACAAACAACACATCTTGGTATAATATCGTCACCTGGAAAATAATTCAATTATTATCTTATTCAGTAACCATGTACCTAAAAACTATCTAAGAATATTACTTGCGAAATTTATATTTATTTAAGAATGATCATTGACTATATTATTATTGATATTATACATAAAAAAAATCGTGAAAGTTTAAACTTACTAAAAATAAAAAATAAAAACGAAATGTATTTCCAAAAACGTAGGAAAAATATATAGTTACAAATTAAGTGATATACTGGGCGATTTGTTCGTCATTAAACACTGATTATCTCGAAATGTATTGACTTTTTTCGGAATCTGTTTTATAGATAATTTTAGAAGCAAGCAGCTCTGAAATTTTACATTTACTTTATTTTTGGTCACCTTAATTTTTGGGGGTGAAATGACTACCTACTTTTGATTTTAAAATAGTATCCTAAATTAAAAGTTTAGTTAAAAAAAATGTTGGTGTTGAAAGCTTTTAAGTTTGAGTTGGGAGAGAGTAGTTGAGCACACTGGTTATTATAGTCAACTAACTATATTAGTCAACTTACAGATGAGTTGCTTTGAGTAGGTATGAATAATTTACTAATAATGTATAAATACAAATGTATAGAAAATAAAATACAAAATTTTGTTTTCTTCGTCCTTAAATATAAATACAGATATTAGGTATATCTAAAAATATTATAAATTTCGTGTCAAATAATATTTTTATGAAATTTACGTTTTGTATTCCTAGGTTTTAAAAGCTCCTCCTTCTAATTAAATACAGCTGATCACTCTGGTTAGAAGTGTATATAAAATTGGTACAAGTTTTCCTATAGTCTGAATATAACTATGTAGTAATATAACTTCAATGAAGTTATTGTAAATTTAATTCATATTTTAATTCACACAAATAAAAACAAATTATAATTATAGTTTTTGTGATTTAAAATTTAAATTTTTATAATACGGGTTCATCGTGAAATTATTTAAATAACGACATTTTTAAATATGAATAAATCCAATTCAAATCTGAACGTACACGGAAATTCGTTCTTTTTTTTTCAAACATCCTTAAAGTTGTTTTTATTCGTTATTTATTTTTTGTTAGTCGTTCTAATATAAATAAATAATTATCAACTTTTATATTTTCAGTCTGACGTCTACACTAAATATTAATGTTTTGTTTTATTTCGATTCGAATATCGAAAATTGAAATTTCAGTATCATTTGTGTGGCGGTACGGCGCGCAGAGTGTTAATTATGTACTTCTACTCCCCACCAGTCTAAACTTAAAAGTGGAATATCTCGTCAACAGCTTGACAGCAATCAAAAATGTCAACACTCAAATTTATTTTAACTAATATTTAGTCTATTTATGGATATTTTAATATAGAAATTAAAAATTAAGTAATGGTTTTACCCCCCCCCCCCAAAAAAAAACAAATACAAAATTGTAGACAGCTTGTTTCTTAAATGTTCTAGAAAACAAATTCCGGAAAACGTTAATACTATCCGAGATAATTAATGAGTGTACCCATTTAAGTGAATCACCTGATATACACAGACTGTCTCATGAAGATATACCCCTGAAATATCCCCGGAGGTAATAAAGACAATCAAATGTCTTGAATGTAAAATGCCGTACATTCTTCATCGTTAGTATTTGATCATGTTCTTCTTTTACATAACATTTTCTATAATACAAAATAGACGGAGAAACGATCGACTCTATATAATAACGGAACTCTGCTGGTCACGTATGTTTTATACGAGTATTATATTATTATTATACTTCCTCCCGTCAGTGTTAAAAAGGTGTATACTTACCATGAAATACCGTATTACTTTTCGTCAACAGTAAAAAAAAAAAAAAATCGAATAACCCAACGAGGTAATTTAAAATGTATTTTTAATAAACATACAATGCAAAAACACTGACGACGCCGTGTAGTACACGATACACGTCTTACAACAAGAGCGTAACAATATTATATTATTATCTATACGACTTACAGAAAAAGGTAGTTAGCTGTTTTTTTTGTATCGCTCTGTTCTTATACATTTTATGTCTCAAGTTTTTACCGCGATTTTAATAATCGATATCACGTTACAATATTATTGAATGTAGGTAATATCGTTTATTCGATATTAACATTATACATATAGGTATAGTTGACACTGACCTAATATAAATAAACCGAGCACATAAAGAGAGGAATTGCATCCCGAAATGATGTATTGAATTCGCAGTAGGTACTCCTTTTTGGAAAAGGATGTTTATAGTAATATCATTTTTGTCCCGTGTTTAAGTGCATCATTTTAAAGGTGATAATCTTCACGCTTAATCGGCAATCCGTAGGCATAATTATTTAAGCTTTTAAATCATTATACATTTATCGAATTATACATTTAAAATCACCTTACCTTACACGGACTATACATTCCTAATTTCTGTTTATAATCCGTTGGTGTTTGGAATGATGATTCGAGATCTTAATCAATATTGAGAGTTCGGTTTTTATTTCACGGAAGGATAAGAAGAATTAAATGTTTTCGTCCAAAAAGGAATATTAACTCTATTTCATTCTAGTATCATTTTTCATAATGCACAGAAGAGCAGAGGGAACGCTCAGTCCATGTGTATTAGGTCAATGACGGGCTAAGTTTACTCTAGAGAGACTATATAATATATGTAGATAAAATATATATGAGAGTGGCCAAACCCGTGCGATGTTAGCCCCGTATTTAGTGAAAACAACCGAATATTTACACCTGATAAAATATAAGGATTTATAGGGAGTTTTAATTAATTAAAATAATCCTATTTTGCACTAGTAGGAATAAAAAAGCGGTTCTATATCAAGAGGGGCTATACCTAAAACACGGCGACTATTTATTTATTAGTTGGCTACTCTCATATTTCTGTATCTATAATCTTTCTAGTTTACGCTTAGAATAGAATACATTAAATATATACTTACACACTACGGGCTCGGACAATGTCGTTAGAGTTTAATAATTTTTAGCGGTGAGTTCTCAATTTTTAACTTTACTAATTATAATTGTACATTATATTTTTCTTATCATCTATAATATATAAATAATATTACATAGTTTCTATGTACATTATACACGTAATACAAAATGCGAAAATTCGTACGCTGGCCGCTCGGAAGTCCTTCGGATCAAAAAAAAATTAAAAACGTTTACGTGGGTATGGAAAACTAATATAATACTATAACTAATTATTCACCTGTGTGAACAATTTTCGTTTTTTTTTTTTATTTAATTTTAATTCCCCGAGGCTCGAAAGAACTATAATTATGTAGGTATATTTATCAATTATGTAAGTATATTATAATAAAAACTGTTAGTATATTATTATTTATGATTTTTCGGTTAAAAAAAACTACAGTTTCAAAAATTATTATATAGAATATATATAGGAAATAATAAAATCGTATCATTTTTTTTTCTTGAGTAACAATTATGTTATTATCTTAAAAATATTCAAAATACATTTTTTTTGTCTAACAATAATATTATTATATAATATGTATACACATTTTAGTGATGATTAAAATTATTACATTTTTTTTTTTTTAACACGGTTTAACGTACAAAACAATAATGTTAATAATTTATCTATAATATAACATATTGATATAGTTACATATAATCATAAATAATATTATAATAGCATGAAGGTAAAACATATAATTATATAGTTAATATAAATATCAAGGGTAAATACAATAATAATATCTTAGTGTTTGATTTATTTGATCTTTTATTTTAAAGGCGATTGTATGCGTATATAATTGACAGCATTTATTTAAATAATAATCATTATAAAAAAAAAAAAAAAAAAAAAAAAAAAAAAAAAAAACCGACTAGAAAATTCAATATAGAGAACCTATTGTTACCGGTATATTTATAACTATTATTATAGTAATAGTAAGTGAACGGCTGACTGCATAATGAACTCTGATTGGTTGACAGCTGTTAAAATCTCTATAGCCATGGACCGCTATTTTGTTCCTACACTAATTTTGGCTATTGTCATTAACAGTTCAAAGTTTATCTCAACAAAATAAACGTAATTTAATATAAAAATTAATATGTTTCGTCAAGATAATAATGCAGTACATTAAAATATATTACTTGTATAATAATAATTAATTAAACAATCTATGGATCACTGCAGTACGATTATCCGCGATGTAAAGCAAATCCAGGGGCGTTGTAGTCGCAATCAGTAACTTAGCATAGATGGGAAATAAGAAATAATGCAACATGGATTTTAGCCCTGTTACAGAGTATCTCACCGCTGCCACCAGATGTCAGTCCATTTGCTTTCTGTCGTGAATATAATATTACGGTCCATTCAAGTAGGTTGTGATAAGCCACTTTCTTAAAATTATATTATTATTGTTATTATTATTATAGGTTCTCTACATTATATACCTATATTATATAATATCGAAACATATAATAATATTATGGTTTGATTTCGGTGTACGAAGATGGGTAAAAAGAAAAATACCAAAAGTTTTTTGAAAAAAAAAAAAAAAAAAAATCGTTTTAATTTGCAATAATTTTTACGCGATAAAGTTTAATTATTATTATTATTCGATAATTAAAGTATTGTCATTTTTGATTGTAAACGATATAATATATAATTAGTTAATATATATGAATACAAAATATAGCGCCGTAATAATATTATATAATCTAACAGGGAAATAAAATTATGAAGTTTAATTATGATTTCGAAAAAAAAATGATTAACCTCGCCCGTTAACCACGACGATTTACAATCAGCTGCTATTTACGATACAAACTAATAGATTCGGCATTGGACACATGTTTTTAATCCAACAAACTTGATACGACTGTTAATCAATAATGTGATAAAGTAAATTGTAATTACAATTTATCTATACCGAAGATATAGGAACAATAACATTACTACGTCTCTCTTGCATAATTTTAACGTTATTAATCAACGAAAATGTTTTTATTGAGAGAGAAACATTGGTTTTCTTTCCATTATATGTAAGTTTGTAGGTACATGTATTATAGGAGTGCCGCATCCATATGTTTAATATCTAAAGTCTTAGATTTTTATAAGCAATATTATTATTTTAAGAAGTTATGTAAAGGGTCAAACGTGAAATAATATTGCACATCACACGTTTTGTAATAACGATAACTCGCTGAAATGTGCAAACAACGTTAAAAACAGCTTCGATTTCACGAAGAAAATCGTTTAAAAATATTATTTTCTATGTTACCTTTTACTATTAGTAGTATTACTAAAACGGAGTTTTTTTTAGAAGATCCTATATTAGGTACATTGGGTAAGAATATGTTCAGATCAGGTTATTATAAAGGCGGTTTTATGTCTACTAGACACCCAGTAAAGTAAGATTAATGTGTTCCTATTAGACAGTGAATGGTAAATTATTAAATTAGTAGATTTCGTACTAAAACTCTCAAGGTATGGTAATTAGAAGGTTTTTTCGAATGAAGCCCTTAAGCGCAAAATATGACTCAAACGCGACCCATAAGACAAATTAATTTTACTAAAATAAAAAAAAAAGTTTATTTTATTAAGATCAGAGTGATTATTAATTGCAATTTTACAGTTCTGATATAAAGAGTACCCTAAAATTAATCGTAGCGCACATTAACTGATATAGGTTTATAGATATTTGGTATGATTTAAAAGATACTAATGATAAAGTCAGATATTCAGCTATGTAGTTATAGTTATCCAAAATCGTATTTGATGTGAGGTGATAGTGTTTATATACTGTATTATTGTATATTAAATGATTAGATATCAATCGTCATTGTAATTTATCACGATAAAATACGATGTAATAAAATTCAATTTTAAATGAACCCCATCACTGTTGTTTTTGAAATAGAAAAACACAGTCAGTACTTATATTTATTGAAAACAAAATATAATGAGCGAACAATTTTAAATTGAAACTTATAATGGAACGGGTACGATGTTTTATCAATTAATACAATTATTTATTTTTGCGCCTTTATCCCACTACTAAAAAATAAAAACTCAAATGGATTTTGCGCTTTTGGGCTTTCGCAGAACAACAGACGATTTGCAATTTTGGGTATCATCATCAGTTTTTTCTAAATTCTGGTGCGAGATTTTTTTTATTAGGGAGAAGAAGTAGACACGCAGTAGATATTCACTAAAAAAATGCTCAGATTCATATAATAAAAGAGACGGGTGATATTGTACATTTCTAATTGTTTTATAAATTAGTTCGATACTTTATATCTAGTTATCCAACAGGCATAATATAGATACATCTGTACAATATAGATATATCTACAGCAGAATATTTAGAAGAATAATGAGTGCCGAATAAAATTATCGCCCGTTTTTGAATACGTATTTTATAATCAACAGTCGAGCAAAGAACCCGCGGAGCTCGACGGGTTTATACGAATTGACCTGTAACCTATTCTCGTTTATGTTCGGGACGCATAAAAAATATAAGACCTTTAATATTATTTGTGACTGCACTTAAAATCGAAATTTGAGTCAATTTGATATTCATTTTCGATTACCAATCATATAAAACCGTTTATAATAAATATATCAAGACATCGAGTAAACACGAATAAAGTAACGGCTATGTAATTCTGTTAAAACTAACCGTTTAAGTATGTTTAAAATATGTTAGTATATTCAAAATAATTTAATAAGAAAAAATGTATACTACAATTTATTTACAAGTGAAAATTTACACATACACACACAACGACACTATTTCAGTTGAAAACGAGGGGTCATCATATTTCATTTTGGTGAAATATAAGTGAAGTTTTAAATCGTTCAGGATAATTTAAACGCGTATCGATATTTTAAATTTTCAAAAACCTTGAATATTTTATCATTGCTATGCCTGTTGTATTTGGCAGTCAGCCGGTCTCCAGCATTCAATATGTTATGTAAAACTACGTCGGACAGGCAAAAAAGGAACAATGGTTTGATTTCTTTTGTTGAGTTTTGTTTTTCTGTCATCATGGGACAAGAACTTCCTGAGGTCCTTAATTAAAATCGATACGTTTCTGAAGTTGTTTGTATTCTATAGAAAGGGAAATTGTTTGATTAATATATTAATAATAAGATGGAGTGTCTGTGTAGATTTTCCTAATTTACTTTGGTTTTTATAATTTGTTACCTTGCCATCCTGAAGAATCCGTTATCATTAATATTCTACTTAAAATACTTATAGGTTTTTTCATCCAAACACATATCATATGCTCTTGAAATTAACAGTATATATCTGTTATTATTATCTCATCTTGTTTTGGTGGTTTTTTTTATTGTTATCGTTTTTTTCAACGTTATCTTTTTCTGACCGGAAATCGACGAAGAAGACGGGGATCTTGCGTTTTGTTCATTGTTAAGGTGGTCGTTGAGCTGTTCCTATTATAATATTATTTTGTCTTTCTCGCGGAACAATATAATAACGTTAGGTGGGTAGCGATGCAAAGTTTTAGGTTCATCCAGGACTTTTGGGCGACCAAACATAAACTCTGGACGATTCACTGTTGCCGCCATTGTTGCTGGAGCAGGATGAAAACTTAAGGAGGAGACCAAAAGCGTTTGTTGGTTAAGTATCTACCTAGCTCTTTCATTGTTATACAAACTCGATAAGATCGTCCGACCGAACCGTTTAATTAATGTACATGGTTCTTTGCGCGTCTTTCAAATTTCATCAGACCCCTTCGTCTACACATAATAATGATATTATTATAATCGTGGAAATCAAACTCGATTCGTTTTCTAAATCAACGATTCTAATTAGAATTTTACCACAGATATGAATAAGAGAAATTTTGCGAGGATGGAAACATAGTCAGTCTCCGTAGACGGAAATTGAGAGAGAGACCATAAACTCCTGAATTTTTACTTTTTACCATGCTTTTGGCCCGTGTAACAAAAATTGTATAATGCTTCTCTCTCAAAAAAATTTCTGAATTTGGTTAGGCGTAGGTAAACTTTTATACATAAATTAAGCACTTAAGCACCCACAATTATGTTTTGTTCGCAAGTATCTTATTTTACTTATATGTATTTGAATTCGTGACGAGGGTTATATTATTATACTAAGTTCCCATTGGTTTTCGACTCTGTTTTTGATAAAAAAAAGTTTACGAAATGATGGCCCCACTTCTCCGACTATGTTATAGCCACGGCTGGATTTACGATGATAAAATTTTCATTTTTTTGGGGTCTGCACGTCGCAAACATTTAAAATTTCACGAGAAAACCAAAAATGAAAACGTACGTAATGGCGTGCAGTCGGTGCGTCTATTTGTGTGTATATGTGTATGAAAAACAAAATTATCGATATAAAAATTAAAAAAAAAAATATAAATATATATTCAGTAAAATCTCCTTATAACGGAATCGCTCGGTACTAACTGAGTCTTCCATTTTTAAGGAGTTTCCGTTATAAGAAGACTAAAATATACGGGAAATAGGTTATATAGAACTGTTGTTATTTTCCGTTTTAAGGAGATTCCTTATAGGGGGTCCACTATAAGGAGGTTTTACTGTATATATATATATATAGTGTACGCGGAAGACGATGGACGATTATGCGATGAAAAAAACTGCAACGGTGGCAGCGGCGGCGGAAAAAAAGCAATGAGACGGTCGCGCGGTGATGGCGATGGCGGCGCCGGAAGGAAACGGCGAGAGCCGCTGATGAGCGGTGATGGTCGCCTTAACTTCGCGGATCTCTGAAGTTATGGTATTTTACTTTTTATTATTTTTCCGTCCGTCTTATCTTCGTTTATAGCGCATGGTGGTATTGCGTATTAGAGAGAAAGAGAGAGAGAAAGAGATAGAGCAGGTAAAATAATAATATGCTGGTCGAAGAGAAGAGAGAGAGAGATTGAAAATAGAATATAAGAAAAAAAACCGTAAAAACGACAACACAAACTTGTATACATATATATATATATATGTATATATATATTTATAGCTGAGTGTAGTTGTACAGACCATCTCGTAAATTACGTCGGAAATGCGGCGGCGATCGCGGTAAAAACGACGGCGGCGATGCTAATAAATTCTTTTCCACATCCCGCGGTCACAGGCTCAGATTTGGCTGCTACGCTCACTAGAAACACACACACAAAAAAAAAAAAAAACAATTAAAGTCGGCTCGAAAGTGCGTATTTACTGTATTTATATCTATCCCATTACACGTATATACCATATATATTATTTTTATCTGGTCGTAGGCCATTCAAGTAATTTTCAGTCTTCTGCGCGAAAGAAGTAATGCACAAGCCGTCTAGGGTTTCAAGTTTTTTCGTAAAAAACCAAAACATTTATTGAACGGCCTATAGTATAATATAATGATTTTCTATGAATTATTTTCAATAAAACTGTAAAAAACCTCATTCAATGTTAGCCCAGAAGCTGTAACTAAGGCTACTAGATATTCTTGAATTTTACGTTTTTTGTTAACTTATCTTACGTATGCCGTACTTCAAGTATATCCACGTACCTAATTCAGTCATGCAGCAACCGCTTCATTCATGTAATTATTATTGACAACAATAGCAACACGTCAATATAATTTAACGCAAAGTTTGTATAGAAATAATATATTGCGTAATACACAAACCAACAAATCCAGAGGAGGTTCCACTAACAACACTCGAACGAACAGTATGTCTATAAGTGGTCGAAAAAAAAAAACATATAAACGTTGTGCCGGACGACAGTTATTATTACGTAGGTATTATTCGAGTGTACTCGTATGTCGTTAATATTATTTTAGAAGTTGAACAACGGTCCGTTTCGGGACAAGTTGTATATTTCACGAGCGAATAAAATAACTCGTATAACAGGACTTTTTTTTTACCTCATCACAAAATACTGCAAAAGACCCCCGTCGAGTCGTCATCACTGAAAACAGCATTCCGTAAACACTTGATTTACTTTATTCACATTTATTGTAACTACTTCAGATAATATTTTTTTTTTTGATTCATCAAAAAATATTGAATCTAGGCACAAAAAAATGTGTTTTATGACCAAATAACTTTGCATATAAAATACATGCAATTCGGTATATATAATTTATTTTATTTTAAATGTTTATTCTTCAGGGTCATAATTTCTATATTTATAAAGCATATTATTGTATAGCTGTACTCTAATTCTCATTAAATAGTAAATAGAAAAATCACACAATAAACACCTCATATAACAAGGGGTGATTACCTCTAAAATTTGAAAACACATCACATACTAGTTTAATAATTCAAAATCTTTAATTGTTTTACTTATAAAATTCTTCCTAATTATTTTCTGTCTACGCGCATACAGGCATATCAAATATGGTTATACATTTATAACAGACGACGTCATGTAGTTGGGTAACACATAATTATGCGTTATATAGTGATGTGACTAATAGTTACGTCAGCCAAGCATGTATCTGGTATTTTATCCGGGGGGGGGGGGGTGAAGATTAATTTTTTTTATGAATAGTCAAATATTTCGATCATCGTATATTTTGATAACCAACCATTTTATTCCGTCATAACAACGAGTTTTGCACGTGCTACTCAAACGGTCATGCACAATAATAATCCCTCAAACGACCCCCGTAAAATAATAATAATAACCGTTTTGAACATTTGGGTAAACGTTTTATGTATAGTAAATGGAACTCCGGAGCGTTTGCGTTTTTTTTTTACTCCACGCACGCGTGTCGTCCTGATATATATACACGAGTACGTATATACCGCACAAATTCAAATCGCATTATAATTCAAATAATAATAATATGAAAATAGGTAGGTACCTGCGTTTACTTGTATTTTTTGTCATTTTGCTGGCACCTACACCGAGATCGTGACGTAGGTATTTACGGGGGATTTTTTTTTTTTTTTTTACTTCTGGGTCGTACAAAAATAGTAAAAGGGTCGCTACTAGGTATATTATGTAAAAAGAAAACACTATAAGAAACTTTTAAATTATAGTGATAATGTAGGCGGTGTACGTACGGTACTAGTACCTAGTTATTGCAGTACCTATACCATACGAGTTAAACAATCCGTATTCTATAAATTAACATTTCTTTTTCCTCGGGTGAAGAGTAAAAATCCCTTACTTCACCTTTCGAGTTACCCGGTAAGTATGCCATCGGGTGTAACAACCTTCTAGTGGAGCTGTTTTAATTTACAGCGCTGTATAGAGATTGTTATTATTATTACTGTAAAATAACATAAAACGTGACATATAATATTTGTATACGAATGTAAAACTATTTACCCACCCGCATGACAGTGAAGCGTTGACCTGGTTGTTCTCAAGCGCTCGGAAATAAACCAGAGCTTGCAAATATTCTAGGTGATAAATTAGCGCAAAAGGGTTGCTAGCGGCAAAATTTAATATTATATTAGGTATTTATAAAATATACGAAACGAGATGTTGAGTGGTATAGCCTTAAATTTACAATTTTCTTTTCATATTCAAGTGCCTAGTTGTAATATTCTTTTTATATTAAATTCGGATTTTTAGGGCCGCGTTGATTGGTAACTATGTTTTTTCTTCTAAATTGTATTTATCACAACTGATTAGCCGTCGAGATAAAACAATTTGAAATTATATTCGCGATGTTTGTGAAAAGCTTAATCTCTGTAGATTAGGTATCAAAGTGAACGTTTTATTTTTAAATTTAAGTCTTTTCTATTGGTAATATATTTGTAAAAACTGTCACGAGTAATGTATTGTAGAATATCGTTATTTATAGCAAACATCTTCTTCTGCAGTATTCAATTTAATGATTGGTTGGCAGCAACTTCCATGTTTCTTTATCACTAGCCTTTCTCTTCAACTCTTGATACGAATTATATCATTGATCTTCTATCATATGACTTACATATTTTATTCTTGGTCTTCCTCTATGATTTTTTCCATTGGTTATTCCTTCTAAAATTTGTAATAGATTTGTAAATCGTCGTGTCTTAAAATATGACCTACTAATTCATTTCGCCTTTTCTTTATACTCGTCCATATTGATTTCCTCTCAGATACCTTTTATAATACTTCTTCATTAGTAATTCTATCAGTTTAATTTATATTTTTCATCTTCCTTTAGCACCACATTTCGAATGCTTCTATTCTTCTCATTTCTTCTCTTGCAATAGTCCATGTTTCGCATCCGTATAACATAATGCTCCAGATGTACGTTTTTAGTAGATTCTTTTTGATGTCAATGTTTTTTGAAGTAAAAATTCTTAGTAAATGCCACCTTCGCTTGGCATATTCGATTTATAATTTTCTTTTTGTATCTCCCATCTGAGCTTATAGTGTTACCCAAATTTATGAAATTTCCTATTTATTCTGTAGTTTCATCAGCCTTTAATTTTATTATTGTTCTTATGTCTCTATTACATACTAGGACTTTCATCTTCTTTGCGTTAATTTTCAACTGTAAATTCTTATCCATCATCTGTTCCAATGTTCCTAAAATCTTTTTTCGATCTTTTTCATTTTCCGGTATTATCGCAATGTCGTCCGCAAATCTCAGCATGTCTATTTTGTAACCATTTATCTTTATTCTTATTTGTGTTCTATTTCTTATAGTATATATGGCCTCTTGAATGTTAATTAAATATTAAAGGTGAAAATGTACATCCCTGTCTAACACCTTTTTTTATTTTGGACTCTTTTTGAATACCTTCCATTTTTATGATTGCTATTTCATTTTTATATAATTTATAGAGCAGTTTTCTTTCTATGGTTGTAACTCCAGCTCTTTTCAGCGTTTTGAACATTATTTCCCAGTTAACATTATCGAGTGCCTTCTCAATATCAACAAAAGCAATAAACGTCGACTTATCTTTCCATATTCTTTTTTCTATTATTAATCTTATATCGCTTTTCTTGTACCCAATTTTTTTCTAAATCCAAATTGGTCCTCTGATAATATGTCTTCTATCTGATTTTCCATTTTCTTATACATATTTTTTTTTTTAAATCTTTGAGGCATGCGATAGCAAACTAATGGTTCGATATTGTTCACACTTTTTAGTTGATGTATTATTTGGTATGGGAACAATTATACTTTTTACAATGTCGGTGGGTATATTCGCCATTCTGTAAATATCTTGAATGAGTTTAAATAATTCATTCACCGTATTTTTTCCTATTTTCTTACAAAGTTTGGCTTGGATTTTATCAATTCCTGCCGCCTTCTTAGGTTTTAATTCTCCTAATGCTTTGTTAAATTCTTCTTTTAATATTGGATATTCTACATAAGCTTCATTTAGCAAACATAAGAAACAAAAATATCAAAAAAAC